CTGTTCTCGGCTGTAAATTCTCCGATCGGCTGTGATCAGGTACGTAAAGACATCTGAGGTGTGCGCCATTTTGTCCTACTATTGAGTTTGCTTTGATAGACTTCCCGCTTTTTGCTATTATCCTGAAGCTATATTATGTGCGTTTGTACAACGATAATTCACAGGATTATCTTGGAATCACGTAGACGCAGTATCCGACATTTATTGAAGCTATGGACGTAAGGTTTAGAAGCAGTTGCTATGTCCACTTATGGGGTACGCGTCGATCTCTGCAAGTAAGGTCTTCGGAGCATATTCCTTAATGTCCCTAAAAGCAATAAGAATCTTCAGAACCCATTAATGGTGAAAACAGGGGATGTAACTAGTCTATTGAGAAACATGCTATAGAGACAGGGCACGAAATTGACGTTAAAACATGTTTTAAACTTATAAAACGTGTTGGGGACGTATCTTAAAGCTTGTGGAAGCCATAGCGGGCGATTAGGAAGTTTAAAGCACTTTTATGCGTTCATCAAAAACAATTCGTGATCACACTAAACCTACCTTCCTTGGTAAACTTTGTTTTCATACCAGTCAGGGCACTTGTACTATTACCTCTATTATTTGGTTTAGTAATCTTAATTGTTATTTTGGCCTTCCATATGTCTGCTTAAATTGACCTAAATTTATTTGCTCACATCTTAACTCTATTGATTTCATATATATATTCCTATGACAAGTCTGTGTGTGAGCAGACAGTTCGAAATGAGTTGCGCAAATACATTACACAATGCAAACAAATTACGTCTTATCATTGCTTTGTCTAAATATCCGTTTGCGTCAAAAATAGTTACCGGTGTGAACTTCACTAGTTCTTACTGTTAACTCGTTCATTATTCGTGTATACATCCTGTGAACCCTTGTTTTCTTTTTCTTTAGCTACTCGGTAATTTCGGCGTCCTCATGGGGTTCATTGCTGAAGAAAGTGGTTTCCAGTATCGTTGATTTTGTATTCTGTGTTAAATAACTAATAAATGTCTTTCCCATTCCCCAAACGTTTATTCTACCCGTTGATATTGGATATTAATCTTTGCGAATGTTGTGAGCTACAGAGTTTGAGAGACTAGTGTATTTAGAAGAGTCGTCTGCATTTGAGTTATACTGTCGTCAGTATGCAGTACGTTCTTGTTATCGTGATAAATTCGTTAGCAGTAATTATTATCACTACCCATATTTTTGTAGGATAGTGTATAACAAAGCATACTAATGCAATTGTCAAAGGTCGGAAATATCCGCTTGAATTGAAATAGGTGCTTAGGTAAGGGAAAATTATTACTTAGATAATCGAAATATCAAATAAGTGATAAAGTTATTAACACCGTTTACTTGCGGGGATTTGAAGTTGTATATTTAGAAGTAATAGTAACTTGTTGATAGTTTAGAGGATGTTTTGTTTGGTGGGAACAAAGGTGGGACAGCATAACTGAATACATGGATAAGCAACATCAACTGGCTAGTGTATACATATTTTGATGGAAAACACTATCGAGCAAAGTATTTCGAAGACAAGAGTAGGGCAGTCTCCTGAAACTACCAATTTAGTGAGTAACTAACGCAGTAAAAGTATTTCATGGACCGAGAGTAGCAATTGGCACTTAGCAGAACCATGGGCACTTATTGAAAGTATTTTCGAGAAGTAATACGATGATGTTAGCTTCTTTCTAATATATACGCACCTGTCAACGCAATGAAAAGATAATAATGAATTGCTATCACAAGGGTTGTATTTACTATGTGGGGAATGTTGTTACAGACAAACTTCACTGCAATATGTACAAGTCTTACATGTCATTACATCAGTAATATAAGCACACCAATTGTACTACGGCCCGAAGTGAATGATCTCAAGGCTTCAGATCAACAATAGATAAGATTTTAATTTGATAAATCACACAGTGCCGAACAGTAATATTAAATGGTGACGTTTCGAGCATAAGTTATTCATACCAACAAATTTGTGGGAGGCGGATGTACTGAAAGACTGCTTGCAGACAACATGCATGACGACATCTAGTAGAGTATCTACGAAGACTGACAACCTGCAAAGAGGAGGACAAAATGAAACAATTAGGAGGCACATAACGCATGAGATAAGTATTTTTGATGTAAGTATAAAACTTGGACACTGTGGTAGAGCATAACTCCATTATGGATAACAGTCTATTTTGATTAATCGCAGTGTTGTACAGTAATACTAACTGATGACGTTTCCAGCACAATTATTGCTCATAATCACATCAAGTCACTCACACAAATTTTCGCTTCATTTGTATACATGAGTGTTTTAGTTAAGCGTGCAACATGGATAAAAAATCACTCATCTCGTTCACCTCTATTCACACTACTTCTTATGTCCGTGCTGCTGACTTTTGCTTCATGGTTTGTTCTTCAGTGCACTTTAGCTGGACAATTTAAGGAATTCGGAAAATGCATAGAGCACTTAGGAAACGGCATTAATGATTGTTTAAGCCAATTAACGCTGTAGTAGGTTGTGACACTAGGCAGCTGCAACAACAAATGCTGACTGACTGAGTTTTAACATACAATTCAGAACAGAAGTGCAGCAGTTCAATTTGTTACATTCCACACTTGAAAAGTATTATATTTAGTTGGTAATAAGCAAAAAGATTTCAGCAGATGTGTTTCAACTTAGCATTTAAGCTATGGGATAAAATAAACTAACTCATGAGATATAACGAGACAGAGTGTGAAAGTTATCTCCGGTAAGAGGAGGAATTATTGTAAGATAAGAACCAAATGGAAAAATGCGTTTATCATTTGTTGACATTTCGGTTATTATTACGCACTTTTTAACATTTCGTTATATCTAGACTATAAGTCACTCTGAGTGACTGACTTTTAACATAGAAGCTTGCACACAAGTGAACCCGTTCAAGTTACCATATCCCATTTAGCACCCAAAGGTACAGAAAAAAGAAATTAAATGGAACTCTCATGGATATAAATGTGAGGGAAAATGGATAGTGATAAGAATGAAATGTAAGGGTTGATTAGATATGTAAGATTACACAAAGTGAATACATCTATGTCATGGACAATGACTTGGAGTCACATCTCTACCTAACACTACAAGCTTGACCCCATTGTTACTCACCATACTATACTACTTAACACAGAGAATAGGGCACATACACCTACTATCAAACAGAGTGGTCTTTTCATATCTCCCAGCTTTATTGGTTACTTCTCACAACCTAGGTGGACAATGTCATCAACGTACTCTAAGTTGACGAGACTCTTCCCTAATAAGTCCCTTAAGTCTATGAAAAACAGTTCTGTTAATATGTGCATAATGAAATAAAAACTGGAGTGGCTTTCATTCATCATTCTACCAACAGTTTCAGTCTTTTAGACGAGCTGCGGTGAACATGATTATTTGTCTTCCTAGGCTCCGTTTGAACCCATCGGGGTTTTCACAACATCCAATTTCAGTCGGTACTTGGTTCCGAAGAGTGCAATATTTAATGGTGAAAAAGTTTACCATAAAGATTTTCTGCGGATAGCCACCTTGAGAAGGCAGTCGTGGTTCCGCAGTCGATATGGTTTGATATTTGCCCACGTTATGGATGAGTTACTGCAACAATATTTCCTAATGACTTTGAAGAGTAGAAACCAGATGCATTTCACTCTCCTTAACTATGAGGGTTATAATTTCTGTCATTTCCACCTGTCAACATATTCCACTTGTTGGTCAAACACTATTGTACGCCTCGTGAAGAATTTCCGGACACTTTCCCTTCTTTCGGTCTGCGGCCTTAGGTTTCAAAATAAGAGAGCATAATATTCACGTTTGGGGCGAACACATGTTTTATAAATATAGCTAATCTTGCCTCTTGGGTGTAGAAGTTACGCAGTACAAAGCCAGTAAGTCGTTTACAGTCAGATACAACCTTATTCACATGGTTGGATAGGGTTATATCTGAATATGTTATCCCGAGATCTGTGACTGTGTTCAGTTTTAAGAGGGGCTTACTGTACTTATATAGGCACATTCTCGGTTTCCAGATTCCACTGTTGGCTATACGAGACTTGTCTGGGTTGGAAGTCAGTTGCCATTTTTCTCTCCTACCACCTAGATTGTTTAACTCATGTTGGATCTTACTTTCGACGCTCATGTCATCATACCAATAATCAGATACTATCTTGAGATCATCCGCAAAGAGATATGACTTGCCATACTCGATCACAGAGACTATGTCACTTATGAATAAGAGGAACAGAATGGAGCCAAGAACGCTACCGTGTATTACACCACTAGTTATCGGTTTTTGGTTAAGACAGCTGTTGGTTGATTTTGACTGGTTACTTTCTTTCTGTGTGAAAAGAATTTATCCATCTGAGAAGCTTCCCAGTTATTCCGTAGGATTGTAGTTCTGTTAGGAGTAGGATATGTGGGACTTTAATAAAGGCTTTGCCAACGTCGAGAAATAATGTTGATACAGAATGATCATTGTCTATGCATTGTGTAATGCAGTCGAAACAATCTAAACGGAAAGTAATGCACGACCTTCTACTTAAGAAACCGTATTGGGATGGGGATATTAGGTCATTTGAGAGCAAGTAATGAATGATTTGGGTCTTTACTATCTTTACTACGTGTTTTTATTATCTCTTTTGTTTTGTCGACGACATCGGACGACTAACGAGGGAGAGGATCAAATTCATTCACAGCAGCAACATGGTCTTAATACAATCCATACTAGAAACAACATATAATTAATACTTGCAACACTCCTTTTGGAATCAGTCATAGCTACAACAGTCGGGTGGAGGGACGAGCTAAGCAGGATTTACAAAGATCAGGAATTTTTACTTCACAAACAAAAATCAAGCACAAAGAAATAAAATCCGCTTACGTTAGCTCGTAAAAAGGATATGGAATTTGTTTAAATATATCAGTAACATATATTTATAAGCATCCGGAATTATGAATACTAAATATGTTGGTGCTTCCAGAGTTTCAGCACGGTATCGACTTACATGTACACTTGGACGCTGCTGCTAGACCAGAAACTCTGTATGAACTAGCAGAAAGAGAAAGAATATCAAATCTACCAAGAAATTTAAATGAATTCAAAAAGAAGATAACCCCTAATTCCCCATATTCTGTCAGAGAATTTTTCAACATAATTGACTACATCAAACCACTGATTGCTGGCAAAAAAGTAAGGTGTTGACATCTGCACTTACTGACCCCTAAAATATGTAAAATACATAAAAATTGTTCTCATGATTATTTTTAATCAACAGTAGTTCTTTTAAACCCCACATTTCCACTTCCTAGTTCCAATTAAGCTTGAAAATAGTAAATGAGACTTTTACACCTCCTAATGTTGAAAACGTAGGATGCACATTATGTTTATTTTATACACAGGTGATGATTATCACCTTGACTTCTTCATACAAAGAAATAGACAGTGAAAACAGACAATATGCTCTTTTTATCGGAGAGATAAATGTTTCTACGTGGCCAAATTTTGTGTTAAAGCATACAGAATCAGCATAGGCACCTGCTAGATTGAGAAATTCTTCTCAGATTTGCTAGGGATAATGGTTAGGGGTTGTACTGTCGAGGAAAAACATGAAACTACACAAAAAATTACAACTGGCATCATCAAACAATAAGTTTCGCACTCAATTTTTTTGAAATGGCTGCATTTACAGCTGTAAGTAGCAAGCACCGAGGCACCTTTTCAAAGTTAAACGGTCCATTCTATTTGTTCAAAGAAAATGATTCGTCCTTGCATATGCATCTTTTCATCGAAACAAAAATATCTTAGGGTTTTTTGAGATAAGACAACTAACACTGACCAATTATTGCGCTTATTACAGCTTCACTTCCACATCTTCGAAAACATGGAGGATATTTACTGTTCCTGTGAAGCTAGATATACCGTTTGTCCAAAACTGTGGAAGGACACTATCCTGTATGGTTAAGGACAAGTGGTATTGGAGCTATGATAAGCTCAATAACTGAGCATCTTTTCGGCACTGGTCAGTTTATCTCTTCAACATTTTGCTTTAAAATTATCAATAAGCGAAAAATAACCTGCTAAAATCAATACGTATCCGGCATATCTGTATTGCCGAAGTCTTAGCTATCGAAATAGAAAAGAAGTTTCTTCGACTAATCCTTCCTACGTAATCCTAATCCGTCTATTTTAAACTAGAGTAATTCCCATTATAATAAAGGTTTTTTGTATTTCCCAATGAATGGAAAACAAAACGATATTGTTTATACTGAAATTTCATTGGGGAATGAAATAAACTTTTATTATAATGATTATCATACACCCAATGCCCAAATTTTTTCAAACTGGTTTGGACATATATAGAGTAATTCCCAATTTAAAATTCGCTCTATTTATTTTTTTCGCTTTTTCACTCTGTATATCTATCGATATTTATTTCTGTTGGTATTATTTACACTTTAAATAATTTTCTATGCTATCTCACTTGTATAATTAAATATGACTTTTCGCAATGTTATCGAGATTCTTACCTTATTACATCATATTTTATCGACCAGGTGATTTTATTAATTCTGCGCCCTTTTATAAGATTCATCTATTCATTGAACGATGTCACAACCCGCATAACCCGTTTTGTCACTTGACATTCATCTATGATTATAACCACAAATACTGTGTTGCAGCTCACATTGTTACTTTAGAATATCATATATTTATATATACTATTGTACAGCTTGATAACAGACTTGATGAAATCTCCTCACTGTACCACTTATTTTCATTTTCTGCCTGTCCTAGTGGGAGTTTCCAATGAACGATAGTAAGTAGAAATATGATCATATGCTGTATCTGCTCACAAATAAATAACCTGTCGTCATTAAAAACAAATCATTTTAATGCTTGGATAGATGACATTACTTCTACCAGTGTTCTATTTGTGTAGTGCAAGTAGTGAAAGGCTCGTATGTAGATAGTGGAATATATCACAACACAATTAACTGCACGAATATGATAAACGATTTCTCCATAGCCACTGCCTTCATTCCATAGAGAGATCCCTATACATGCTCCTAATCTAGCGACTCATTCCAAGGTTCATCAGCACTGTCGTAAAAAAATAAGTGCAAGATCTATGAATAGTATGTCAAACGATGCTTGCTTGCACATCATTCCTGTTTCCAGTTATCTCAGTTTGCAGATAACCATGTTTATCCCCTTAACAGATCGTACATTCATGGTCCAAATGTTCTGCTACCTATTACAATTCACAGTATTCTGGCGCAAAGCATATAGAAAGTACCTACTTTTAACAGGCATTATCTCCAACAAACGAAACCATATATTCTTAATCATCTGTGATAGTTTAGCTTTTACAAGCTATTGAATTGTTTTCTACAGGATAATTTGACTTTACGGGAAACTTATCTATTAAAAGCCACAAATGAAAGTAGCTAATTTTAGTTGTTACTAGAGGTTAAAACAGCTTTCAAGGGTTCGACAATCGTCTATTATGCCGTATTTAAGATGTTATAATTATTCCCCTGGGTGTTGAATGGGATATAGAACCTTACAGGCACATCTCAATTTCACAGTATTCTCTACAATTATCTACTAGCTGGATTTACAATTATCCAAAAGCTTTCGTCTCCTTCTCGTAGGATCTCCTCTATGTCACCCTTGAACGCTCATCTCAACGTTTCCCATTTGGGTTCCACCTGAGGGTTTGACGCGATATTGTGACACAACGGTCCCCTCAGTGTGCCGCCAACTCATTCCCACTTCCTTTAGTCAGAGGTTATTGGTTGGTTGATTTCCAGAGTTTCTTATTACTAATCCTTTCTGACGAGTAATCTCATCTTCAATATGGGGTATATGGGGCTGTTGAAGAAAATCTACAGACTCCCGAGAATGCTTTCAACGACACTTCAAGTCCCTAAACCAAATAGAAGTGCTGAATTGACCTACATAGTTTTGGAAATCGTAATCTTTTTTCTAAGCTGAGTGCAGCAGATTTCCACGCTGACCTCAGTTCAGTGATTTTGGATTTTTTGATCGTATTTTAAAGAATTTCGTTTGGTTTTCTGAACTGTTCAAAAATTTTGAAAGTGATTGAACTTACTTTCAGTCCTTAACCAGTTTATCCTTTTCCATAATTCAACAAACATTTTGGTTTGATATTTATCAAGTCTGAAATGAAAGTTTTACTAAACTTCTATTAGTTGTCTCAAATGCCGTTTACTTCTTTTTTAGAGAATGCTCAGTGTCCATGTGTAATGAGTGTTCATCGCCAAGAAAATCAAGAATTATACAGTTTTGTAAAACAGAATATAGGCTTATACGCCTTTAGACTGTTATAAACTCATGGTTTAAGAGATGTCTAGAAGCTCACTAGGTAAAGTGAGAAAGACTATGGTTCAATAAATACTCCCTGTGAACAATTAAGGACCAGCGTTTTACAAGTAACTGCTATAACTAGAATACATACTGTGCAATACGCTGAAAGGTACAGCAGCCTCTCAGGTGAATACAGTTAATATTCAGGATCTATAGAGTTTCTTTATCTTGTCATTGAACTCTTTATATAAGCTTCATATAAGCTGTCAGACGTCAGTCTGTAAAATTTGACTTTCGAAGTTAGTTATTCAACTTAGACTTTGCGTTGAACAAATTATCATTGAATGCTATTCGAGTCTATACATTTGCACTATTCATCATGCAATTTCAGTTTGGTGGAAAATATTATGTATACAGTTTTGTATTCAGAAGTCAGCTACTTTCTACTATATGCAAACATCTGGGTTCTTATTAAGCGGCAAGGTATTCCCATAGTTTCTGATGGCTTAACTATACTGCTGTACAAGTGCCAACACACTACTGAAAGTTTATAAGTCTGTGTGAATATACTATTTACTACTTTATCAATTTTATTATTTGCCACTAAATTCCAAAAGTGTCAGCCTTTATTTTTGTTTTTCCTTTCTTTCCTGTCATATTTAGGATGCTCTGGCTCGTATTTGTGAGGAATTCGTTGAAGATTGTGTACAGCTTGGGAGACTGTGTTATGTAGAGACAAGATTTTGTCCATTCACTTTAACGGGTCGCTATTTAGATGCAGAAGAAGTTCTTAAAATAGTTCTGGAGAAACTGCAAACAGCTGGGGAACGGCATCGCTTACAAGTTCGTACTATTTTATCAATTATGAGAAATATGCCGGAAACAGCTAAAGAAACATTAGATTTGGCTAAAAAGTATAACACGCATGGAGTTGTTGGTATAGATGTTGCAGGTTAGTGATACTATTTCTAGAAATTAATTATTCTATAGAACTGAAATTTCATGTAATCACAAGGAATTATGAAATAATTTCACTTTAAATTTTTAAGAATTTGCAGCAACATCAATTTACAAATCTTTTATTATTTCACTAACAGAATTTCAGGATTTACAGTTGCTCTTGTATGCTGCGAATCATTTTATCTCAGTTTTATTGTTATTATCATAATAATAATCATTCTCTCGGGTTACAAATGAACCAAAAGACCACAACAACACATCGCCATTTCATCCGGTTCTCTGTGGTCCTCTTCAGCCGACTCCATGATTGCCTATAAGCTTTTGTATCCTCCTAACAACATTTCCTCCATTTCACCGTTGGACGGCCAACTAACCGATTCCTATTTGAGTTTCTTTCGAGGACTTAGCATGATCTCCTTAGACTAGCGTATGTCCAATCCTTCTCCATTTTCTTCAGCAGATTTGTTGGTCAATAAGTTCTCAGTCAATTCTTTTTGCCTAAATTTCTTATTGACAATCCTTTCTGATAGACAGATCTTTAGTATGTAGTGAACGCAGCTGTTGATATGAGTCCTCATTAGCCTGTTGAAAATGCTTTTCTTGAGAAACCAAGTCTCCGAACCACGCAGAACCACTGATTTGACATCAGTGTTGAAAATTCGGATCTTGTTTCTCATGCTAAGTGAAGCAGATTTCCACACTCATTTCAGACTAATGAGGGTATGTCCCACTTTTCCAATCTGTGCCTCCTTTAGTTGAAACGATACTGCCGAAGTAAGTGAAAGAGCAGACCTCCTTTAATTTCTCTCGTTGACAGTGATCAGTGTTGGTTGTTGTTGTTGCTTTCTGCTAGGGATCTTCATCACCTTCATCTTCTCCATGTTCACTTGAAGTCCTGTCTTCGCTGCTTCTTGTGTCAACTTATTGGTTTTCGCATGTAGATGTGACATTAGACATTAGATCTTCTAGAGTCTTCTTGTCTGCCCTAAATGTTCCTGTTTTCTCTCACCCCACTGCTTCAATACAATGCGACTCTGGCTAATTCAGTCAAGTTTGAAGGAAGAGATCAACACAATTTCTTTAATCTGACTCATTCTGAACTCATTACGTGGATATCTTTAATTTGTTTTGGTGAATTAAACATAAAGGGATTTTTTTTATACCTTTACGTTCCCAGTGGAACATAGGGCTTCAAGCTAGAGGCTTGAAATTTCAGTAGCAGTGGTGTTTATTTTTGCTGGATGGGGTTGCTAGCCTCATGTCCAGCCCAACATTCCCTCCTTATTCAGTCTTATTACTGGCTTAGCGAGGGAAAGGAGTGCTTCGGCCGGGGATTGAACCCCTGACCACATGTGTGGTCGGCGAGCATTCTACCGCTGTGCCACCGACGCACTAAAGTGACTTTAGGTAGTAAAAATTAGTTGGATACACTGGACAAAACAAAAATGTTTTCATCTTATCTGATGGCAAGAGTGAATAATTTTCTTTTGATATAAACTCGTTAATATGTTTAAAGAATCATGTTTTTGATAATTTTATTTATTTATTTAATTTTAGCTCGATTCCACACAATATTTCGGTACAAGTATGGAATTTTCAGCATGTGATATCGGTAGCCTAAATTTAGCAGGCCAACCATTGATATCAGGTGTGCCTCGGCCGGGGATCGAACCCCGAACGATATATATGGTTGGCGAGCGTCCTAACCGCTGTGCCACCAACGCATTAAATACGCCTTTATTTATTAGCTTTACTTTACAGACGTGAGAGTGATGGCAGTGACATTCTATCTTCATTACATTGTTGCCATCATATGCAGTGAGACACCTGAAAAACTTAGCTCATGTAAATAAAACTTTTGATGACCCTTTGGATTATTACTTCTATTTTTATCTCTATGCTTTTCAGCAAAGCTTCTACAAAAATCTACTACGCTTCATTTTTGAAATTCTAAGAATCCGACCTAAACAAACTGGTTGGCTCTCACGAGGTATGCAACATAGACGGCACTGAAATAGAAACCAAGTCGGGAATTAAATACCTAGGCGTCATTCTATCTGCTGATCTTTCCTGGTCGTCTCATATCTTAGCGATTTCTAAGAAAATATTCCGTCTTACCTTCTACATCAAGAATTTAAGACATTCTGGTATAACCCAACCCTTACTCCTACAATTCGTTAACTCTCGCATTCTGCCTATTATTCTCTATTGTTCCCCCTTAGTTTTTCCCGGGCTACTGAAGAAAGACTATAACATATTACGCAGGATGTTAAAGGTTGTCAGCAGGGTAAGCAACGTGCCATTTAACCAGCTTGTTAATATTCTGGTCGACAGGCACATGGACTCATGTGAAAAATGGGCCAAATCCATTTTATCTAACTCACACCACCCTCTTCACTCACAACTCTCCCCTTGCATCTCATCAGGCAAAACCAGAAGCCTATATAGAAAACTATATGCTCGCACTAGCAAGTACAAAAACTCAACCATACCCTACTTAACTCGTGTTCTGTGTGATAAAGAAAGCATTAGGCGTGACACCTATAATTCATTAAATAGTCAGTAGAACAACTGGATCTCGTCTTTCCAACTCATATCATTTATAGGTACAACATTTTCTTCCTTTCTTTCCTTTTCTCTCTCTTTTTTCCGTTATGTGCTGCTTTGTTTCTTTCTCTCGCTTACGCCAGTAAATATGATAGCACTTACTTTTCTAACACCTTCAAACACTGTTCAACTTTGGTTTAGCTACCGACATGCCAATGTATTGTTGTCATAATGAACTGAGATTTCCTTAATCTATGTAGAATTTTATTTGGTTACAGGATTTCATCATGAGCTGACATCAGTTAGAGAACCATTGGAAAACCTGGGAGTACTGGACAGCTGTTTCCGTCCTAGTTTTGGACTCTTCAACAGTACGCACCACCGGGATTCGAACCCAGACCTTCTGTTACAATGACGATCCAATGGTCATGAATTCTAACTTCTGCCAATTCACGACATAGCGCGACCCCTAGCCAATGTCTTCGGCGAGTATTGTCCTCACGCCCGACCTGCTGCACCCTACTGGTCACGACTTCTCACTAGAACCAGGTACTACACCTGAATAGCAAGTCGTAGTCTTCTAATGTATGGTCTAGTGAAACGAAAAAATTGGTGCGCTATGTATGAATTGGCAGAAGTTAGAATTCATGGACCATTGGATCGGGTCCCAGTGGCTTAATGGTATACGAGCTGGCCTCGTAACCAGAAGGTCCTGGGTTCGAATCCCGGTGGGTGCGTACTGCTGAAGAGTCCCAAACTAGGACGAAACAGCTGTCCAGTACTCCCAGGTTTTCCAATGGTTCTCTAACTGATGTCAGCTCATGATGAAATCCTGTAACCAATCAAATCCCTACAAACCAACACTAGAATTTTATTTATTGATAGTGTACTAACTGGATGCAATACTGTAGTAAAAATGCTGAAAATTCCATTCTGTATCACAAGTACTGTTTTGGAATAGAGCAAATTATTATTATTATTGCTCAATAACCTCCTGGATTTCCTCGCATGGTAGTGAACCAAATCTACTATGTGAAGGTTAATGACTTTCTGAACGTCTTTAGATGCAATGGATTTTGAATCTGTGATCCCATGGTTGGGAATTGAGCTCATAAATCGATGAGGAATATCTTCACAAAATTTCTCATGTTTGTATTAAACATTCATTTAAAAAAAGATTTCTTTTAACAATAGAAACATAATTATCGCCGCCACAATATTTTCCTATCCTCCTGTTATTTTGCTTGGTTATCAGTTATTTTGAGATGAAATGTAACGAAAGCCTTAAAAACAAATACAGAACAGCACTCGCAAAACTGATACTTATGCTCAAAAGTGATGTTTTAACCATGCATCAACTGTCCGCTCATGAATACCAGTGATAATGTACAAATGACCAGGAATTTAGGTCAAAAAGGATACTTAATTTACCTGAAGGCTATTTGCAGTGTGATATAAACATTTATTTCTGTATAACTATACAATACTGTACATCAGATATACTTCTATTTTCACTTTATTTGATACATAAATATTTGTCATCAACAAGTTGAATAGCTATTTCAATGTATCCAATCAATGCAGTGCAGCCAAAAACTCGAACTGACATATTAAAGCATCATCTTTAATAAGGGCTTTAATAAGGCTTGCATAAACAGTGTTGTGGATGCAAAATACGTATGCAGTTAATCATAGTACTTCTGTTATCGTTTATTGTTATTTCAGGGATTTAAAACTTAAAAAATTATGAGTGATACTTTGAATTCTTTTTACATAACAAGAAAGTGAGTTTTCGAAAATTATTTGACACTGCTGAGGTCTATCTACTTGATGTGACACTACTGTGTGTAAACTAATTTAGTCTTATCCCGGACTAGGAATAAAATGTCTTTTTAAAGTTAGGTCATGATTTGACATCTCGTACTTTACTGTCTCGTCCTAGTTTGGGGCTCTTCAGTATTGCGCGCCTACTACTCCACCGGGGATTCGAACTCACTGCTTTTAGGTGGTTGACCACTAAGCCACTGATAAAGAATTCAATGAGCTATGAATTCTAAATTCTGCCAGTTCGCGAGATATAGTGCCATCTCTAGGCAATGTAATCGGCGTTTCTTTGTTCTTACACCAGACTTGGTGGCCTCAGCTAGTCATAAGTTATCATTAGAACTCCACCTTGTAGTCAGTCACCAGTGAGCATTAGGATAATTGTCAAATAATAATAATAATAAAATTTTAGATAATCTTTTTAATCACTTTTAAGTTTCATCACTTTTATCAAAAATTAAGAAAGACATATCAATGAAGTAAGCCATTCTTACTTTCCATATGTTGAGATTCGATGCTTTGCTTTGTAATACTATCTTAAGTGTAATATTAATATTATTATTGTTCCCTTGGGTTCCTAGTGGAACATAGGGCTTCAACTACACGTCTCCACTTGCTTCTGTCTTCTGTTGTACTTTTCACCTGCATCCATGTTAATCCATACTGTTTCAACTCCTCTTCACACGATCTCCTCCATGTCACCCTTGCACCGACGTCCCACTCGCCGCTTCCCTTTCGGGTTCCACTCGAGCGTTGGCCTGACGCGCGATGTCACCCAGCGGCCTCCTCAGCGAGTGTCCAATCCATCTCCACTTTCTCCTGCATATTTGTTAGGCGATTGGTTCTTGTTTCGTTTGTTTCCATAGTTTCTTGTTGGTGATTCTTTCCGGCCATCTGATCTTCAGTATATAGAGAAAACAGTTGTTGTTGATAAAGTTCTGCAACAGGCTGTTGAAAATATTCTTGGTGACACACCGGCCAAGTTTCTGATCCGTATAGAAGAAGTGACTGACTTGACGTTTGTATTGAAAATCCGAATTTTGTTGTTGATGCTGAGTTGAGTGACGAAGATTTCCAGATTGGTTTCAGGTTGATGAATGTGTTTCTCGCCTTCCCGATTCTCTATTTGACATCCTCGTTCGTTCCTCCTGTGGTTGAGACAATGCTCCCCAGATAAGTGAATGAAGTAACCTCTTTCAAATCCCTCCCGTTGATGGTGATTGGCGGTGGATGTTGCTGCTGTTGTTGTTGGTTGGTTATTTTCATAACCTTCGTCTTGTCTATGTTCACCTGGAGTCCTGTCTTTGCTGCTTCCTCGACCAGCTTGTCGGTTTTCGCTTGTAAGTCTTCGATTTTATGTGACATCAAACATAAGTCATCCGCGAAATCCAAGTCTTCTAGGTTCTTCACGTCGGTCCAGGATATCCCTGTCTTCTCGTTTCCCACTGTCTGACGCATAATCCAGTCCACCACAATTAGGAATATCATTGGTGATAAGTGTAAAGCAGATAAATAATACATCCACTTTATGTGAAGGTAGTGGCCAGCTTATAGTGACAGTTATACAAATACCAAGTTTAATATAATGGCAAAGGATTGGTGTAGCTTTCTGCAGATCAAGAATATTGAGGTCTTATCTGTAAGCCGATTATCGGTTTAAAAAGTTTTGCTTTATTTATGTCTTTTCACTTTTACGCATGCAATGCATGTTCGTAACCGACTATGACAATCTATATCAGAATATTCCACTCTCTTCAGAACCATTTTAGTCGTGCCTAAACATAAAATTCTATAAACAGTGATGATTCCCTTGGAATTTACGGCTGATTAAGGTTATAATACATAGGAAGTTGAATTCTACGAGGATTTTGATCATTTCCTTCAAGTCAAAGATACATTCCACTGATGAGATTCAACTGTCAGTAAACAAATATGCATTAATTTTCGTGAAGTGACAGAAGTTAAAATTCACGGGTCATTGAATTCCTGTGCCAACTGGTTGAATGGTCAATGAGCTTGGCCTCTTAATTGATTCTTAGTGGGTTTGTGGGTGAGTACTGGTGAAGAGTCTCGAACCAGGACGAAACAGTTGTCCAATATACCCTAGTTTGCAATTAATTTCGTAATCAGACTCGAAACAAATGTTCATTAGTCGCTTCTCAGGAATAAAATATAATTTAATATACATTCATTATCCATTTTCAAGTTTTATCAAATTGGTAGAAGTCTTTGTGACTCTCGAGTCATAAGGTTTGTAATCACCTGATAAATGCACCTAATTTGAAGTATAACGACTGATATTCTATTTACGTTCTTTATGTAGAATATTTGCCAAATTCTTTTGAATTTTATTATTATTTTTTTCACATCAAATAGGTGATGATTCAGTTTTAGAAAGAAAGCCTGTACCAAATGAAATTATTGAAACATTTAAAGAAGCTAAAAAGTTTGATATTCATCGTACAGTTCATGTTGGTGAAAATAGTTCAGCCAATAGTGTTTATGAAGCAGTGAATACACTACACGCTGAACGTATTGGTAATGGATATCATGTTGTAGACAATGAAAAATTGTACAATGCACTTCTTGATACTGGTGTACATTTTGAGGTAGGATGAATATTAACAAAAATTGATTTGATTGCATGGATGATTTCATTATGAGCTGACATCAGTTAGAGAACCACTGGAAAACCTGCAGGGAGTACTGGACAGCTGTTTCGTCCTATTTTTGGACTCTTCATCAGTACACACCCGCCAAGGGGTTCGAATCCAGGACCAGCTGGCCTTGTAACCAGAAGATCCTGGATTCGAACCCCGTTGGTGGGTGTGTACTGATGAAGAGTCCAAAAATAGGACGAAACAGCTGTCCAGTACTCCCTGCAGGTTTTCCAGTGGTTCTCTAACTGATGTCAGCTCATGATGAAATCCTTCATGCAATCAAACAAAATCCCTACAAAACCAATACTTGAAAAATTGATTAATTTTTTCCCTTCTACTCTTTTCATAACCCATGCATATTTGGAATATTATGATATACAGAATTAAAATGAGTCAATAAAAATATTCATTTGAGTAGATATTTCAGTCAGTGATTATCTTCTCTATGCACTAAAATCAATTTGAAGTGCATATATATTTACTGTATGTGTGATGAGACATTCTCATTTCGAAGTGAATTTTGACTTGGTTTATTACACCTAGCTTATATTACTATTATTATTATTATGCCACTCCCGATTATGAATACAATTTCCAGTTAATATGAATGACTCAATGAATGTATTCGTTTTATTTCGATTCCCTTAATGTCCATTCTATTCGCAGGGATGTAAATTCCTGAAACTCAATAAAATTTTAATTCTCTGTTATTAGTTAAAGATACATAAAGCTCGACAATCTCTTAAATGTTCAACTTAATTTCGCATTTATCAGCAGTTTGTTTGCAAGGATTTGATTGATTTTAAGTTTGATGACAAAATAACTTCAGTTAGACAACCACTAGGAGTCAGGAAGTCCTGGACATATGTCTCATCTTTGTCTGGGACTCCTCAGCAGTACGCACCAGTCACCCCACCACCTTCAGGCTACGAAGAGAGCCTGTTTACCATGCATTCACTTGCGTTGGAACTCTATAACCAATCAGTTCCAAATTATTACTGAATTCAGTGATTCAACTTGTAATCAAGATTAGTTTTAAGCACAAACAAACTCTGGTGGGTCTCTGAAAGTAAAGGAGCATTTTCGTATACTAACTATTAGTGAATGCCATATATGAGCTGGCCAAGTGACCTGGTGGATAAGGTTTTGGCATTTAAAGCGATAGGTACTGGGTTAGAGTTTCAGTAAAAACACTATCACTCACTGGGGAACAAATATACCCAGTTGATGAATCCCAATCAGGAAGAAACACGCATCCTGGATTCTGCTGATAAGCACGACCAAACAAGTAACTTCCTCTCTTTGTTGGCTATACTCGACGTGCTTAGTCTGTTAGATTGTCTGATTGTTCTGTGTTGTCAGATCTGCAGGGAGTACTAGGATCGTGGTGGACCTTATGGTTGTGGATAAGAATGGAGGAGAGTCGTATAGTGTATGCATGCGCCCCACCCAGACACTGTTCAGGAAATGTAAGTCACTGGCCTAAGAACTCGACTTCCATCCGATGGGTGACCGGTTCGAACCCCACTCCATGAATTTCAGCAGTGACATGACAAGAGTGGTCCATTACCTGGTACCGGGTGACTGAGTTCTAACTATATAACTGAGTTGTATATAAGGGATTATTCTTTCACCTCATTATACTACTTCTAGATGGTGGGTATCGTTGACTGCTTTTTAAGTTTATGGGGAGAACTAACAGATCGAAATTTAAAATAAGCTCACTTCCGCATCACTCTGAAAGGTTTAGAAGTACTTTATTTATTCAAACTTATATCACTTTGAAATGTAAGATAAATATATTAAAGTTTTCAATCTGATAGATATGAGTATTTACTGATAAACAACCTACAGAATAAGCACTCTGGCAGCAAAAAAAGACTGTTCCATTTACAGTTATTATTCTGCTGGTAGGGAGTTAGGCTTCAGTGTTCAGTATTCCTCAACAACCCCATGATACTGGCAATGAGCCACGCCTATTATGTGAAGACCAGCTATACTGCCTAGGGCTTCTCAAACCTCTGTGCATGGAGCGGGGTTAGAACCCACGACTAGACAAATAAGCCATAGCTCCATGTGACGCTCACATTTATCAGAGAGTTTAAAGGAACTAATCTGTAATAACAGTAATATAATCATTAGATGCCATTTATTCAGTAATTTATAATCATTAAAATTCTTTATTTTGCCAGTTATGCCCATCGTCAAGCTTTTTAACTGGTGCAGTAAACTACAGAGATCTACGAAATCATCCAATACATCGTTTTGTTAAAGATGATGCCAATTTCTCGATTAACACAGATGGTCCAACATTAACACAAAGATGGAATACAGAAGAGGCTACATATTGTATGGATGAATTGGGATTGAAATATGCTCAAGTGAATGAGGCAAATTACAGAGCAGCAAAAGCAGCCTTTCTGCCGACTGTTGAACAAGGTCTTCTAGTGTCACATATCACTATCAGAACAAGAAATAGATATATAACTATTGATAAATACAAATTACGAGAGTATTCTAGATGAGAAATAACTTTTTCAACACAATACTTTCTTTAACTGATCTATTTTACTGGTTTGGACATTTTAGAAAATATTTTCGATAACAATTAGAAATTTTCTACTATTCTTTCGAAAATCTATCACCGCTCGCTTATATACTCACTGCTTTGTTTTACTAAAGTTCTTTTAACGCTTAAAAATGTTCACTGATTGATTTTTTGTTAGAACTTATAACAAACAAACGGACATTTTCAGAATATGACCTAGTATTACTGCTTTAATTGTTTGAAATGCTACATCTCATATCTATACATCAGGCTTTTTTCTTTTCTTGAATTCCCAGTAGGACATGGAGCTTTAAACCTTAAGTCTTAAAATTTCAACAGAGGTGGGGTCGCTTTAACGTCTAACCTTCCTTCTTTCCCCGGTTTACTACAGGCTAGGTGTGGTTTAGGAGTGTGTCTGCTGAGAATTGAAGCCGGCCTTCCCGCATGTCTGGTGAGGTGAAAATACGAAAGGAAGACTAAATCACCAGGTAATGAAGTGTAGGATGGTGTTATAAGGTAGGCAACGCAAATAGAAATAGAACAAGATAGCACAGTTAGAATGGCATCACAGTGTGAGTGTATCTGAACCTTAGTGGTTCAGATCAGCTCTCAAACTTATCACCTAACATTTCTGACAATGCGTAACAGTAGCCACTTGAATCTTCTTTTAGACAGACTATTATTTCCTACACAGGTCAGACTAATACTCAGTGACATTTAGGGTGATTCTGTATCTTCAAGTGGCTATCTTTTACTTTTGTCTCATCGAATCCCACGCATAGTGGTGTAAGTCCAGAACTAACTTAAGTGACCAGTCTTCCCTAACATGAACTTCACATCTAGCTCCTGCATTCCCTACACTGCGGTTCTATAAAACTTAGGGAATGCCAAAAAGTCGACAGGTATCAAATACCTGAAGTATCCTTAGGTCATATACCTTTAGTGGCCTTGTTTTGCGGAAATACTGTGCAACGAAGTGCTCTGAGGTAAGTCACAATCAACCCTTTGTTGGTAACAGAATATCTTCACTGAGCCATAGGTGGTCAAATTCATTGAAAGCCAAACAAACCCTTTTTGTTGGTGTTGACACTGAGTCCGGTGTCAGTCTAACAGGCTTGGTATGACTTTTCAAGTAAGTGAAAGGGTCTAAACACTCGAATCCTCAACCTATACTGGCTAAGTAGAACTAAACTTTTAAATTCAGTTTATGAAGATTGTAGATTTTCACATTAAGGATTCAGAGGACCCTGCGATTTGCAGTTTTCATCACCCAGCAAGACCATGTCATTATACGTGCCAAAAGTTAAGTAAAGCATCTCGCATATGGAAGCTAGTTCCAGTGAATTTACGTGTTGAAATGAAGATTTTCGTAAGCACATTCGCTATAAAACTGATTAAAATTTAAGGACTGTACACTTCTGACTAATATCAGTTACTAATGACACCTCATGATTAGTCTAGTTATTAATTACATCCGTCTTCAAGTACCACTGGAAACAACTTATTATGCTTCACTGATACCTACGGTCTCCTCAACTCCATAAGCTGTACATGTCTTATATCGACCTCTTATTCAGAAGATATTTATGTTTAATTATTATTTGCTTCCATGATTGTTCCATTGTTTACTGAAGAAGTTAAAGATGTTTTCAATGAATGCAAGCCTGTTTCTCATAGGAGAAGAATTTTACTTCAGTGTTTATGCTGTGGCTGTTAGCTTTAAAGGTGAATCTTAAAAGTGATCATTTGCAGTTACATCTAAGATATCAAGGTATATTTCGTAACATACATCAGTAAGACGACCACTGGAAACTTCTAGGAGATGGACATCTGTTATGTTTTTGTTTGGGACTAATCATCAGCACTAATCTTCCACTGTACAAAAGCATCAAGCTCAAGCAAGACCTTTAGTCTACAAGACTGACACCTATATCACTTAGCCAATAAATCTAAACCCAATGATTCGTGAATTATTTTTCTTTGTATCTATTCTCACAAGCAGACTTCATAGAAATTATCAACCACTACTTCTCATTTAAACTCTGGGAATTTCATCTTGAAGTTAGCCAATTATAAGTTGTGTAGTGGTATTCAGAAGTTGGATTTGTATAGCTATGACTCAATTAGAGTTATATTTCACGACAAACAAACATTAGCGCTCCATGACTTCCGATCAAACGATTTTATTTTAATAAGAAACTTATTCTGAAATCAGTCAAATCCCCTAAGACTCAACTTCTGTAAGATTTGCAAGATGAGAAAGAGGTAACTATCAAATTATATTTCCTTTTCAGTAATTTTCTATTAAAAGAACAGATACGGCAAGTAACAGTCTTTGAGTTCCACCTCGTGTCTGTTTTGAATATCCTTGGGGAATGCAGAACTATTCAACGCACATACCGACAATACTCCTTGGAGTTTTAATATCTTTATGCAGAAATATGCAGTTAAACTGTTTATATCGTAGGGCAGGCTCATAAAAATGTGTTTTCTTCAGCTGACTGTATAAGGATTACTGAAATGCTTAATGTTTTACACTGATACTCTATCCAGCCAAATAATAACTAATTGCGTCAGTCTACTGAAAACATCTCAGCCGTGGGGCGTCATTGTTGGTGTGCTGAGAATAACATGTTTAGGATGATTCACTAACTTATAACCCTAGGAAGGCTACCTACATTAGTATCATAAGTGAAAATATTGTTGAACTGAAACTACGGGTTAAAATATTGAAATATCCGTCCGGTATGGGATATAAGAATAAAACTTGGGCACTGTGATACAGTATAACTGTGCTGGTAACGTCACCAATAAATAATACTGAATAACACTGTCAGACTTTATCAAACAAATTTCTCCCAAGGTGGAACCTGGTATGGTGTAATGGTAGAAGGCAAAAGACTTGCTAACGGAATGTTTATTTGGAATTTGATATCTCTATAATGTAGGGAAATTGTGTACACCTCATATGAAAATCGTCATTTACACAGATCTTCGGTGTTGTGCTACTTTTATCCTTCATATTGTGTTCCTTTGTCTTCTTTTCGTGTCTACCATGATTTACCGCAATACTGGTTCATTTTCTCTCTTTGACATCAAATCTATCTCTCTGCTATTTGGTGTTTTTGTGCCGATGAACATCTTTTTATATACTATTAATAAATTTTGTCGGTAGCACACACCACAGTGGGAGTCCTACTGAAAGTGCACAGTTGAAATTGAACTCCAAGTCTTTCTTTTCAACACCTTAGACGACTTAACTTAAGGTTTGATGTACTTAGTAACGGTGATTCAGAAGCCGCATCGATTCTTTTATTTAAAGGTATGACTTTTATGATAACACTTAGTGATTTCAATTCACTTTAATACATTTTAGTAAATTCGAGTTAGATTCACTAAATCTAAATAGAGATTAACGGTTATTTTACAAAATAATTAACTGCTGAATTTTAAGATGTTTTCCATTCCACTGGAAACTTTTCAGCTGGATGTATTTATTTCTGTTTTTGTTTCAATATATGTTTAAATCAACTGAAGCAAATTTTCAACTTCGGTGAAACAGGAAACAAACAAAGTCTTCTGTGGTTTAGAAAACAAAATAGGTGATATTACTTAAATTAACGAATAACTACATGACAGAAAATGATATTCATAGATAGTGTGTTCATTGCACTCACTAATGAGATGGATATCGATGCTATTAGGAGACATTTTATGATTTCAGTAATGCATGCAATTTTTTAAATTTGATATTTCTACATTTTATATTTGTCGTAACACACTAAGCGATAACAGAAGATAATAAAAGGCAACTAGTTGTGAATGTACCTAAACCATGGATCTTGAGTTTGACCCCTTGTATGCTCAGCATGTCATCTGGTCAATTGGAATAGCTACTAGTAGTTACTGGTGACGTTGAATGTGATCTCTCATTGAATACGGAATAAGACTATGCTTCCTTAGTGCCTTCCACTCTCATGTGCAACAAAAATATCAAAAGATAAATAATGATTATATTCTTAAATAAGAAAAATAATGATTATGTGTTTAGCGAAGTAGTGTTTCTTTGAGACTATTTAGTAATCTGTGAAGAGCAAATTACTTTTGATGTATCTATTACTTAACTTGTTTCTGGAAGCTAATCATAATGTATGCTGTGAGCCAGTTCTTAGGAAACACTTAGCTGAACATTATTTGGTTTGGTTGAAGAACATTGAACACAGGATGCTGAAGTCTCCTATTCGTAAACATCTCAAATCAGGTTACTTAGAACCGCGTCATTTATCCACGAGGTCAAATCAATTACTGTAAAAGACTGCTTTCCCACCACTTATATATTGATGAAACACAAGCCACATATTAATAAAGCCAAGAGCCTGTTTCAAAAAATGTTCCGTTAGATGGTTTTCAGTCTCCTAATCGTAACAGTGTTCTTTCTGGTTAATCTCATTCCACTGAACTTTGTTCACACTATTATTATGATTAACATCATAATCATCGCGTTTTCAAGTTTTTGATGTCACTTGACCGGCTTAATATCGATTGCTTCCCTTTATATTAGTGTCAGTGGTGTGAGATTGATTGTTGAAGAAAACCACCTATTTGAAATGAATGTGCCAGAATAAAAAGACAGCACTGAGCAGAGTTTTCGTGAAGGACTGAAAATAATACCCATTTAGTGCATCTGTAAGGAATTCAGTCACTTGGTAACCTCTCTGTAGCAAAGTCAAAACCATTTCGAGTATATTTCATAATTAGATCATCTTTGAATTCCACCAAGTCGAAACAAACAACTGACTGACTCTAAGACATTATCTGATATCCACTTTGTCAAACAGACAAATAAACACTAAGTCAAATCAGTCCTTCTATATTGATTCAGATACTTAATATATATCACTAAAAGTATCTCCAACAGGATGCAGACATCTACCAGAAACTGCCTTCTCTGGCTGAAAACTGAAGTTCAGATGACTAGAAAGGATCAACTATAAAGTACTCTGGCAACGAAATAACCAAGAACATATTGGTCAACAGATATGCTGAAGACAATGGAGATAGATTAGACATACTCTAAAGAGGCTGTTGAGTGGCATCACGTGACTGGCCCTCGAGTGAAACCCTAACAGGAAGCGACCAGTTTGGCTTCCGATGGTGATACTGGAAGAGATCGTGAGGAGAGGAGATAAGAGCCTATAGGTAATCGTACAGCCAACCAAAACGGAACTACACAGAACAGAACAAAATTGGGATTTACTGCTGAA